TAACTCCACGAGTGGCTTTACAACAGCATGTGGAGTAACAAAGTACTTAATCCAGCCACAGGTGGAGAGGAATCTGCCTCAAGCTGATTAGGGACTGTGAGGTAAAATGCAGCCTCCATCATGGAAGGGCTGGGTTTTGAGAGAACAAAAGAGGTGTCTTCTATAAAAGGGGGCAGTAGCTTGATTATATGCTCCTTTAGGACAGGACACATGCTAGGATTTGACCCACAGACAACCTTTAGCTGGGAGAGAGATTTAATTCTGCCATGTCCTATTTTCAGTTACCTAAAACAGAACTTTACAGCTAAGCCAAGGATTGGGATAGCAAAGCTTTTAGGACTATTCCACCACTCAGGGATATCCCAACTTTTCTGGAATTTGAAAATGACTTTTAGAGCTGGTTGAAATTAAAAAGCTTAAGATTTGAACAATTCTTGACTATATCATAGTTGGTTTAAAACAATACTGGTGGGTGAGGAGGTGTTCATTGTGGAGAAATGAAGAAAAGTTCAACTGGAATTTTAAATAAAATAAAATACTCAGACAACCCTATGGGTTTTACCCCACCTCCTAGGTGCTTCATTAACTAACATTTCATTGCTTCAGGATCCTTATATGAAAGATGCTACCTAGAGTAATGCATTATTATAAAGTCCACCTCAGAAGAGCAACAGGATTTGATGCACAGTGGGTCTGATTCACCATGGCGTTCAACTAAGTCAGGGAAGTTACTCCTAGTTCTACTTAGTGCAACACTATGGTGAGACTCAGAAGATTTCTGAGGACCAGAATCACTGGTCTATTTGCGGTCTCCTCATCTGTTAGATCTTTCGGTGAACTATTCCAGTAGCTTCCTGGCATTTAAACAGTTCAACTGTTGTGACTTTGGTCTGCAGGTGAAAACAAGGGTGCAGACCAAGACGGACAATACCATCATTTGAAATTTTAGAAAGCTACTCCTGTCGTGTTTAGTCGCTTTTCCCCTCACCTACAACTGTATAGACAAATGAGACACCTCAGGTAAAAATTACCTGGCAGAGTTCAAAAATCCCTCCACACCGGTAATAAATAGATGGCTCATGTTATTGTAGTAAGATAAAAATAACTTTTGGCCAAGTTTTCAGTGTTTCCTTTTCATCTCTGAATTGACTGTGTTGGGTTCAAGGTGAAATCATTCGGCAAGTTGCCAGTTTAAAAAATAAAGAAATAAATAAATCCCTATTTCCCCATAGATTTTTTTTTTTTAAAGTAAAAGACACTTTACGCTTTAAATTTGGGACATTCCTGAAATCTCATACTTGTCATTTAGACTGGGGAACAAAGTGCTGAAGTAATTAATTTCTTTTTCTTTTGGTAAATGTAAACCCAAGCATTGTTTAGAAAGCTGAGAGGAGTGTCCCACCCTTTCAAGTCGGAGTAGGAGTACACTAGAGCTACACAAAGCATTCATTCAATGACCAGGAGTGGCCTGATTGACAGAAGCACTTTCCAAAATATTCTTGTCTGGAATTTTGGTGGAAGGTGTTACGTAGCTCCAAATATTTGTTGCTTTGTTTCCATGGTAACAGCTGCACAGTGGTTTAATAATGAAACAACATCGATACTCAATGTTTGAGAGAGCTCTGTGAATTCAAGTTCAAGTTAAAAATTTATTTTTCCATTGCGGGTGGGGGTAGAAACCCAACTACTAAGTCTTTTAAGTCCTAAAGAGAAAAGATTAAAGCCAGACTTTGATAGCTTCAGAAAACCCCATTGAAAAGTAGTATGAAGCAACTAACCAGTGAATTAAATACATGTTAAAAGGTATTTGAGAGACCTGATAGCATTCCAGAGCACATTCTTAATATCTGTAATTGCTCAACAGCCCTTCCCTTTTATTAGGGAGAGATTATTGTAATCAAGTAGACAGGCATCATGAAACACAGGACTAGAGTCAGGAGGCCCAAGTACTAATTTTAGTTGCAGCAATGACTCAGCGTGTACCTATGCAAGTTACTTTGACTCTTTGTGCCTTAGGGCTTGTCTACACTTACCCAAGGATCGATGCTGTGCCAATCGATGCATTGGTGGTCGATTTAGCAGGTCTAGTGAAGACCTGCTAAACCAACCACCGATCTCGCTCTCATGTCAACTTCTGTACTCCACCTGATCAAGAAGAATAAGGGGAGTCGACGGGAGAGCATCTCCCGTTGACATCGCGTAGTGTGGACCCTGCAGTAAGCAGATCGAAGCTACATTGATTTGAGTTATGCTATTCAACTTTTCCCTTTAGTGTAGACAAAGCCTTAGTTTACCCATATAGAAAAATGGGGGAAATGATACTCACCTCATTGGAGAGTCTGGAGATTAAGATGCTTTTGAAAATTTGACCCTTAATCTATTAAAGTTGGGAAATATTTGAGACCCTTGAACTGAAAGTGCCTGGAAAGATTTTCAAAGGCAAAAAGAACACCAAATATCTACTGACTTGCAATGGGATTTGATGGTCTAATTTCCCTTTCTCCTTCTGAAAGTCTATGCTACATGTGACTATTATTACTACTACAATCAAAACTCGTCAGTCATGGCCAGAATAGCCACTGTGCCAGGACTAAACCCAATAGGGTCTAAGACAACTCTCAGCTCCAGTCAGTACTAATCCAGACCATTGGAAAAAGCAATAGCAACGGATAAGATTTTGCTTATGTAACCACTGTGACAGCGTCTAAACCAGGAGTGTCAAACATGTGACCCATGGGCCAGATCTGGCTCCCAGGACCCTTTCACCAGCCCACAGCTCCTTTTGCCGTATTCAAAGCCATCCATCCTGAAAGGTCCTATTTGCAGCTAGTGCAAGGAGACTACAGGAGGCTTCCATGGGCAGAACTGAGAGGGAGGCTCACACCAGATAGGTCTTTATTATTCAAGGGTTGTAGAAAAAAAAAAAAGACAAATTTCAGAGAGGTTGGGGGAATACCCATGAAGAGAAACAAACAGAGCAGTAAATTAATGGATGGAGGGGACAGGAGGTTTCCTAAATGCATTTATTTATTTAGGAAGGAAAATAAATAAATAAATAAATAAATAGAAAATAAAAATCTTTGCCTCTAAATGAAATCCTTCACTTTCTGAAAGAGAGACTCATTCTGCAATCAGGGAGGAGGCAAAATTTTGCCTCTTGCTCAGGAACATCTTACTCTCCAGCACAGATCAATCAACATGGTAATTTGGCCCTCACCACAGAACCTCCCTACTGGCAGCTGTGTAAGTCACAAATTCTCTGGCAAGAGTGCAGTGATCTCTGCCTCAAGCCTACGTGACCAGACATGAAACATGAGTATCTGGACCTTGTACATCCTTTACATTGAATCTTGACTAACGGACTCTTGCATACTTTGTATTATCCGTGTGTGATCCTTTCCCTTGTTATGTGTGCAGCACCTTATCACCAAACGCAGAAAACCCAGGAAGAAATCCATGTTTCTTGAACTTAAATACTTAACTGTGTGCGTGGTGATGCAAGGCCTGATCCAGCTCCCACTGCAGTCAGTGGAGAGACTCCCATGGACTTCAATGGGAGTTGGGTCAGGCCCACAGAGCTCAATACAGTGCATGTGCAGGAATCTAGGATTAAATTCTCCTGGGTAGTCCAGTGCTTTATAAATACCCAGTACATCATCTATAGCTTTAGCTCTCAGCCATTAGAAAGAGAGGTTTGGGCAATCTGGGTCAGGATAGGGGCAGCTTTTTCTCATAGCATGGCCCAAACTTTGACATCATGTGATTTGGAGGCAGCCAAATAAAGGTAGGCATAGGTGACAGCTTATCAGAAAATCTCCATGCAAAGAACAGTGGGGTACTATGGGCATAAGGGATAGAAAGTGTAAAGTGAAGTGTGTCAGATATTTGGCTCTCAGGTTTGCCAGTGCAGGCAGGAAGCCTATCATGGTGACTGGGTGTTTTTAAAATGCCATGGTCAGGCCAGGGTATCTGGGCAATGACCGATATGTTGTTTTCATTGCTGTAGGGGTACAGAGAGCAGGGACATGATGGCTGTATTTGGAGTGGGAGGCTGGGTCTGGCCACAGCATGGAGGTTGCCAAGCAAAGCATCTAGGTAGTACAGGTGTCTTCCTCCTCCTCTCTACCTGTGACTAGGGAATAGAGCACGAAAACAGGCGTGCTGGGTGTACTTCTGCAGCGGCACATACAGACACCAACAAGGGATGGTGAGACACAGCAGCTCCCAGCACAACCCTTTGTACTCCAGGTCATTACTTGGAGTCGCTTCTCTGGCTCAGCTGCACACTCTGCTACCATGGCATTCAATGTAGGACAGGCAGCTGGGTGAGCAGACACTGCCTACTTTCCAGCCAGGACTGTTAGTGACATTGCATTCCATTTGCAGGTGTATTGTAATCTCGACTTGTCTGCTAGCAAACTACTGCGCTTTGTTTGTTTGTTCTTTTTTAAAGTGTTTGTATTTTCTCTTGTGTTACTAATGATTTGACCAAAGAGGAAAATAAGGTACAGAGACATATGGGGGGAAAACCACTCCCAAAGTGCATTTCTCAAGCCACACATTTAGTTTAATTAAGGTCTGCTTACTGAAAGACAGATTAAAGATCTGCTTCCAAAAGACACTGTGAGGCCCCCCTCCCCACCATTTACTGCTTATGAAATCCAAGATATTTACATATGTGGGGTTAATTGCCCTCTTCACTCAGTGTGTAACTCTCATGACACTGAATATACGCAGCCCATGAGTAAAGAACACTGCAGAGCAGCATGACACAAAGGAGGAAGTGCCTCCGACTGTCAGGGTAAGAATGGCTTTTGCAATTTTTCAGGGATTTCACATTCATGGGGAAGTTTTACCCACAGGGCCACAAGGTACTATTCCACTATCCCGACCTTCATACATGCAATTAGAGTAGAACATTGGAGTCAAGATCCATTGAGTGCATCTTTATTTTTAAAACAGTCACAGCGAACATGTAATGGTATTCTAGACCAGGACGAGTCTTACTCCAAAGTTTCTGGGACCAACAGAGCCGTATTATTCATATTCAAGTTATAGCCCTGAAAATATGGGATTTTAGCATACCATTTAGAGGTTTCTAGAAGTAGAACATAGAAGTAGAAGTAGAAGAAGACAAAAACACACCAAATAGAGTGGTTCCCAATGACAAAAGAGTTTTATTTAGAAAGGAAGAGACCTGTAAAAGAGGCTTCTTCATATATAGGCTTAGTGGTCAGAGCAGATGGTTAGGAGTCATGCTCCATCACTGACTTTGACTAAGTCACATAGCAAGTCATTAACCTTTCTGCCCTTCAGGGGGAGACGAGAATATTGCAGAGGAGTACGACGTGCATACCGTGGTGCCCACAGTCACGTGCATAGTGTGCACCACTGCTGGCATCGAGAAGAAGCAGCACTGTCTGCCCCACTTCCCACTCAGGTTTGGCCCCGCTGACCAGCTGTCATGACAGGGGAGCCACAGAGCCAAAACTGAGTGAGGGATGTTGCAACTTCCATTAACGGGGAAGGGTGTGGTTGTCACAGTGCTACTCGCTTAATGTTGGCTTCATGGCCCCTCCATCATGATGGAGGAGTTGCAGGGCCAAGCCTGAGTGGGGACTGGCAGGGCCAGCACTGCTCCTCCTAGCCAATGCTGAGGGCCAGCTCCTGCACCAAGGCCTCACCCTACCTCCAGCAGCCTGTGTCCTCTCTCAGGGACAGGGAGTGAGCAGGACAGACTGGAAGGCGGGAGCTGAGCAAGGCACAAACTCAGCAGGTGAGGAGCTGGAGCCAGCAGCAGGGATGGCTCCATAGGCATTGATGGTATGTACCCTCAGAAAAAAATTCTAGGGGTGCCCCTGCATACATGGGAGGACAACACACCAACAGATTGACAGAGTAAGAAGTGCATTTGAAGTTTTTTGTACGTCTTATTTGCATGGAAGTTCTGCCCTCAGATCCACACAGCAAGATCTTTGCTCCAGTCCCCTCTTTTGCCAGACAGTTATAGTAATAAAGAAATGCTAAATAATTAGTCTTCTCCCCCCGCATAGCATACTGTGAGGCTCCAAAAATGTGTTGCTTTGAGATCCTCAGTTGAAAGGTGCTATTCAAGTGCAAAGCATGACAGATTTCTAGTGGTTTCTGATATCCTGAAAACATGTTATTCTTACTCTGTGGCTGGCAGAGAAAGGAAGTGTTAAATCTTGGACCGATATCAATTTGGCTGAAAATATCAGCTAGAGACATCTTCTGATTATTTATTCCACTTCCCCATGTCTAGGTAGCCCCAGAGGAGCTGTAACGATGACAATCACTGTGAAAAAACCTGAAGATAGTTGGTTACCGCGCAGAATTTGTTCTACTGTGACTAAAAGCATCCAGGAGTTTGTCCCCCACTTTCTGATTAACAAATTCCAGGCACAAGCAAGTCTCTGTTCATTAGAAAAGAGCCTCTTGCGTTAAATCACCACTTCTGCATGGAAACATTTGAAGGAGGAGGAAGAGCAGAAGGTGGAAGAAAATAGGTGATTCCTTTATTATTTCCTCAGAGGTCCTCAAACTCTCTGGTGACTGTTGGAGTCAAGTTAATAGTGTGTACAAACAATGCAGACGAGGCCTTTTATCAATTGTAGGCTCGTCGCTCTTGAAGACTTCAAGCTCTCTCCTTAAATTAAAAGGGCCTTTCTGATTTGAGAAATGCACTCTCCTAGCATGCTGGCTGGAGTCCGAGTTAGGTAGTGTCACTTGGGGTCGCTCCATTCAAGTCAATTACATCACTTCTAGGACCAATGTAAGCAAGATCAGAATCGGACCCTGTGTATCTTCAAACATCGACATATTCCCCAAAGGTGCACAACTTCCCCAGAGGCATTTCTAGATAAATTGGTTTGTGTATCTCAGATTAGAACAGAGACCTTTGGAGTCTATTGTTCACAGATGTACTTGGAGATTTACATATAAAGTATGGTTATAAACATAAAGGAATAGTATACGAGTTTAAATGCTGATGGACTTTGGAATGAGCAACACTTTGTATTATTGTCATACCTATAAGCCCTTGTCACAAACCATTGTGCTAGGCGCTGTGTAAACACAGACCAAAAAGAATAGTCCCTAAGAAAGCAGTAAAGAAAGTGAGACACTGACTAGTATACTCGTTACTGTAACCATCCTTTTAAAGAGATGAGCTAACATAGAAAAGTTGTATATTAATAGGTATAGAAGTATGACATGAGTAAGCATCAGTCTCACAAACAAAGCAGGACTGCGGCTTAAATGTGCAATACCTTACCTCCCATTTCTCCAAGATAATGGCATCACGTTGTGTGCTGAGTGCATGGCTACCTGCTTCTGAGAGAGTCACCACCTATTCTCTGTCATGAACATGGGTGTAACCCCAGTGAAGTCAATGAGGCTGCACACCACTATAAATGAAGGGAGAATTTGAGCCATATTCTTTTGCCTTTAAGTGGGAAATTTCACTCAGTGTGCCACAAGCCCATATCAGAGTCTGTTCACAACACATTATTGGCATACAGTCAATAGGATTGCTTGCTGATGAGTGTGTAAAAATAACACTCGGCTGTTATTACCCTAATTAGCTTAGATTAAACGGATAGCTTCCAGATAGTGAGTTTTAAAAGTACTAATAGAAACAAGACACTGTGTGTAAATAATCACATATTCTACTCTTAGGTAAAGTGGAAGCAAATGAGATTTTGAGGCACAGTCCCAGCTTGATAGTTATTTATGACACAGGACACATAGCCAAAGGTTTTTGCCTGCTCAAACCTATTTATGATTCTCTTATTTTTAAAATTATGATACAGCTTAATTATGACAGTGGCTAGTTACAGGGAGACAGCATCATTTTTAAGTGCCCATCCTACACTAGTGTCAAACCATATGGGAATGGATCAAGAAATCTGGGTTCTACTGAAGTCAGTGGTTAGACTCCCATTGACTTCAATGCAACCCGCATTTCACCCTGCAAATCTTATTGTTATAAGGACTACAACTTTATTCTGGCTAGACTCACTGCCTCTCACCTTCCTCTACTTTTGTTTGAAGCCAAACACATCACCTCCCCCCATTAATTCCATCCATTGGCTTCCTATCCCCTATTGCCCCACAGTCAAGCTTCTTATCAAAGACCGAATATCATCCTGCCCTTTGTGCATCTCATACTCCAGCTCACACTGTCTGCATTGCCAATGCTTTATGCTGTGCCTTCTTCCTTCAAGCCTGTAATTTAATTACTTATATGGCTCCCATTACCATAATATCTGAGCACCTCAGCCTTTCATGTATTTATCTTTGTAACACCCCCCATGAGGGGTAAGTGCTATTACCCCCATTTTACAGATGGGGACCTGAGACACAAGGAGACTTAAGTGGCTTGTAAAAGATTACACAGGAAGTCTGTAAGGCAGCAAGGACCTGAAGTTGTCCTCCCCAAATCCCAGGCTAGTGACCTAGACACTGGACTCCTCACTAAGCCTACCACACCAAGTATTCCTACAAAGTCTCCCACTCACTACTGAATAGGCCTGGCCTGACCCTGCTTAGCTTCACAGATCAGATATGATTAAGACTGTTCAGGGTGGTACAGTCATATGACTCACTATCTGAAGCAAACGCCTCTTCTTTCTTCTCATTGCTTAGTGAGTCCCCACATCCTCATGGGTGTCTGTGACGAAGTGGGACTGTTCTTAATGTTCTCTCTGAATACTGGGTGGGTGCCTCAGTTTCCCCTATGCATTTCTTAAGTATCTAGGTGGTGGGATAAGGGTGTGTGGTTGTTGCAGAGCCCTAGAGGGCCAGTGTGATGGTGTCTGCACAGAGAATGGCAAACACCCTGTCTCCTGGCAAACTGATGGCCTGGGCCCCTCCTCTGCAAGGTGCCAACTGAAGGTGTTGGAGAACAAAGATATCAGGTGGCCTCCTGGCCTGGGAAAGAGATAAAGGCCAGAGGAGGGGCAGGAGAGTTTCAGTTTGGAGCTGGCTGGGAAAATGGAGGGAGGTCCAGATGGGACTCTGGCCTCCCTGCCCCACAAGACGGACCTGACTGAGGGCAAGACGGACCTGACTGAGGGCATGTTCCCTGTACCTACAAGCTCTGTTTTAGACCGTGTTCCTCTCATCTAATAAACCTTCTGTTTTACTGGCTGGCTGAGAGTCATGTCTGACTGTGGAATTGGGGTGCAAGACCCACTGGCTTCCGCAGGAGCCCTGTCTATGTCGACTCGCTGTGGGAAGCGCACGGTGTGGAAGGGGATGCCGAATGCTCCAAGGTCAGACTCAGGAAGATCGAAGCTGTGTAAGCTTCTTGCCCTGAAGACAGTCTGCTCACAGAGAGGAGGCTCCTCCAGAGTCCTGACTGGCTTTGTATGGAGTAGTTCCAGAGCACCGCCCGGTGACTCTATGACAGTGTCTCAGCAGACTTGCTCCTCATCGGCATCCCTGTAAGCTACGTCAGGACCTGATTCAAAACGGATTGAAGTCAGTGAGATTCTTCTGATGGAGTTCATTCAGCTTTGGAACAGGGCTTCAGACTGTAAACTCTTGGGAACGGGTGAAGCTGCAAGGAAATATATGGCACTATATAAGAGTTTTGTAATAATACATATTTTCTGAAACCTTCTGGTGTTTACGTTTCCATTACCAAAGTTTACTGAAACTAGCGGTTTGATCAGAACACACCTGAGTGCTAAGTGGAAGGATGCAGTAATGTGGAAGGTAAACCTTCTGTTCTAAATGCATTCTAAAGGAAATCCTGTGATCTTGCAAATAAGTTTTCAATCTAGATGCACTTTTTGCTTATGCCAGGTATGTCCAGAATTACAATGCTTTTTGTTTTATGGTGACTGATGCTCCCTACTTACTAAGTGCTGTAAACTCCCTGTATTTCATTATATTTTTGCATATTAATATATTTCTACTATGTTTACTACTTAAATGCATTATTTCAAAACAGTATCTATGTTTATATTTACTGTACGTGATACAAACTTTAGATACACACACCAGAACCACTTCACCAGTAACCAAAGTGCAGCCACCTCTGAGGTAGAACTTAGTAGCTGATGAATAGCCTACAGTAACATTATGCAAAAGTGTAGGGAGGGAAGGGAAGAGTACCATATCCAGTTAATACTACAAATATGCAAGATGACTTTAATACCCACATTGTAATCTAGCAGTGCTCTGGGGCCAATATCCTCATTCTTGCCAAAAGTGCCAGGAGCTCTTTAATGATCTAATGAACAGATAATCATAAGGATTCCTTCTGGCCGTAAAAAAAAACAAAAAAAAAAAAAAACTATGAATCTGTGACCATTCATGGCAAGGCCCTGTTTTAGATAGAACTAAGAGAGGGCGCCTCTAGCAGGGCAGCACTAGCATCCAGTACAGTCCAGTACAGACTTCGAGAGAAGAGTTCTGCCTAATGAATCCCTCGCACCACCTTCTGCTGCACCCTGGGTTGTGTTTAGCAGCCTCCCTTTGACTAGTGGCCAGGCCGAGACCTGCTTTCCTTCTGAGATCTGCAGAGATCACACCCTGAGCTGGCGTGGCTACCAACTATAAGTGCAAGCATCATTCAGACACCAGCAGATTCTTAAAACGTGGCTTGCTTGCTTCTTTTGTTTTGGAGTCATGAAGCCAACATATATAACACCCTTCCTAAGCTGCTCCTCCTAACTATTTATATCAGTGCCAAACTGTAAAGGATCCACTTCCACTGCAAACTATGGAACTGGCCTGCTATCTACCCTCAACAGTCCAGTCCGTAGCACCCTGCTACCACCATTAGGAGCTACTGATGCCATTTTTTTTCTCCCTCCAAGGAGGTTAGATTCTGCTCTTGGGTTACCTGATGTAATAGAGATCAGGATTTGGCTGCTAGACTCATCTCTGCATAATTCACAACCTCCAGTGAAGCAGGGAACAGCACTGAGCAATTGCTCCTCATCTAGGGTGACCAGATGTCCCGATTTTATAGGGACAATCCCAATATTTGAGGCTTTGTCTTATATAAGTGCCTATTATCCCCCACCCCCATCCTGATTTTTCACACTTGCTGTCTGGTCACCCTATCCTCATCACCTAGCTCCTAGCCTGAACCCTACAAATGCTACCAGCTGGGTCCCTGAGTTGGCATATATTATGGGGTACTGTTTTCTTCACTAATTGAAGGCACACAAGATCATCTCAGTGCTTTTTACAGTGTAGAAACATCTTTAAAATGTAAATGCAAGTCTGCAATGTGCTAATTAATAAAGTTCATAAAAATGACATCAACTCCATTAGGTCAGGATGAAGGGCAACCAAGCCATGCCACAGAAGGCTGCACAGAGAAATCACAGACAGACAGGCAATCTCAATTAAGTTGTCCTCCCTTCCCATTCTCCTCTGAATTACTTCTCTAAAGCCCCTTAATTATCCAAACTCAATTAGTCTTACAGTATTTGAAGCTTCCTGTTCAGACTAATTTCTCTCTCTTTCCTCATTTGGAGTATTTGACTTATATTAAAGATCATTTAGTGTCCATGGTGGAGAGAACGTTACAAAGACTGTGATAAAGCTCTTCTTTATCCTACTGCTGTCTGACCAGATCAGGCATTAAGTCTACGCATTTCTACCCAGACAGAATATCAGTATGTTTAGTGCAAGTTTCTTTTATATCTACACCAAATATTTGTATTGCCAGTAGTGACTATCACGCTACTGTCCTTTAGAGCTATTTTTCAGCCCTGAAGATTTCCATATGTCCTTTCCAAACCGTATTCTTTTTTATTGTTCCTGGGAATCAAAACAAGAACATAGTGTTAGAGAATTCCTACCAACGAGAACATTCGTGGCAAAGCAGATAGTAAGCAAAGACAATAGCAGGAAGCAGTTAAAAGCTTCCCTTTCATCTCAGTGATGCGGCTCCACGGGCAGACTGAACTCGCACATTTTTCAGTCAAAGGGAATGTAACTCAAGGATTGCAATGAAGCTCATAAATTATTCAAGCCCCTATTGGTTTTAGTCCCCACTGTTAAAGAGGCCAGCCTCAAGGTATTTCTCACCGCATTTTTTTCCCCAGTTTCTCTACTGCAGCCCAACGAAAGCTTGGAAAGTACATCTGTGTCAGTCTGAAGTGCATTTTCTTCCAGGAAGTACATGTGCAAACAGGGCCTCTTCAGACTGTGCTGCCAAACTTGCAACCCAGGGGATCGAGAGCATGAGGGCCGCACCTGTTATGGTTATTACCTGCAGCAGCACTCCTGTGCTGTGTAGAGGCCCTGATGAGATCATCGTGCTAGGTGCTGTACACGCACATCGTAAAAGACATGGCTGAGAGAAACGCTCTCTCACCTTCATGGGAAAGCTGCACTGGTTTAATTTAAATTGTTTTTTAGTTATACCAGTGCAGATCCTTGTGCAGACATTTTCTTTGATTGAAAAGTGGTTTTTTTTCAGTTGAATGTAAACCGATCCTAATTGACTTAAGTGAAACTGAAATAAGCATGTTTTGAACACATAGGAATTTGCACTGGTTAATATCACACTTTACATTAAAACGGTGCAACTTTCTCATGCAGATAAACCCTCATGGATAGGGAACTGAGACACAGAGAGATTAAGTGACTTGCCCAAGATTAAATAGAAAGTCTATGGCATAGCCAGGAACCAAACTCAAAGCTCTGAATCCCAGTCCAGTGCATTAACCACAAAGCTCTCCTCCCTCTCCATTAGTTTTCTTGCTTTTCACGTTCCAATTGCCTTGTGGCATGAATAAAATCTGCTTCACGATCGAGAACTCTACAGGGAACCTAGAGGTCTCCTCCTTTGCCTGGGGTAGGATGGCAAGTTCACATGCTTCCTGTTTAAGAAGAAACTTCCACCTCTAACTCCCCCATTTTGGTCATTAGTTATTCCACCCAGTGCCCACAGCCACACACATCCCTTAAAGCAAGAGGAACGAATAGTTCACATAGCAGAGCTACAGGAAAATGACCCATACCATGTCTGCAAGGCCCAAGATTCAGCAAGCTTTTGCTTGAACAGGCTGTGCAGGTTTGTTATGGTGAGGTGGCTTATGCATCCTTATCTCCCTTCTTTTCTTTCATGCTTTGATCAACAGTGAAGTAATTCATGTTGATGTGTGCTTTGTGTGGGTTCACAGTTGATTGATACGAATGGGGCACGTCACACCCCAGACCCAGGCAGACATCACTTCATCAGCTAGGCTTCCTTCACAGTTTGAAGGTTATTTCTGTAATTAAGAGAACTAGACTCTTTTTAAGGGAAGCTTTACCTTTGGAAGCACAAGGTGATACCCTCAAACCACACAAAAACACAGTTCGCCAAGACACTGGAAGCCAGTCTAATTGGTCTCCTACCATTAATTCTGAAGTTACCACTGTGACACGGGCAGACAAGGTGGCAGCTCATGCTAAGGCCCCTCGGCCTCACTGAACACTAGTTTCCAGCTATGAGTTAGTCAATCTGGCTCACCGGTGTGTTAGTATTTAGGTATTAGAGTTATAGACAGGTGTTTAGCATTTGGACTTTATGAAATGCTTTTGAGTTGCTGCATGCATTAATCTCACTTATATCATCTGTATCTTCCCCCTCCCTACCCAACACCCATGAAGAGTGGATGTGCTTAAACCCTCATCCCATCACAGTTTGATCTCTGGGGGAAGAGAATGAAAATCCCTGACTAGACAAATCCGTATGACTATGCTGCTTGGAATTTGGAGAGGGCAATATTTCTAAGCGTAAGCAAGGGATCTCCAAACTGCTTAGCTTGGGTCTGCCCTAAAGGTTATAGAGAGCTTGTACATTACAGTAGCTTCTATTACTTTTTGAAATCTGAGACTGTAACTCATTTCTGCATGTATGTTTACCTGCTTTAACTTGTAAATAACTCATTTCTTCTTCCTAAGTAATAAACGTTTAGTTAGCTTAAGATAGGATTAGCTACAGGTGTTGTCCTTGGTGAGCCATCTAAGGTACAATTGACTGGTAAGTGACTGGTCCTGTGGTACTAGGATTAACCTGAATATTGTTGTGATTTTTGGTGTAAGGGACCATCTATCACAGAGGCAGGCTAGCCTGCATGACAAGATAGACCGGAGTACATAAAAGGACTGCCTGACTCCCAGGCTGTCATAGGGTTTGAAGCATTCACACTTGATATTTAGCTGGTGAAATTTATTTCTAGACCACACAGACAATTTGGAGTTTGTGCCCTGGTTTGAAACAATCTGGCCTGAGGTTGGCACCCATATTCATGAATCATTCCAGACAGCTTGACAACCAGGTGAGTGTTTTATCAGGCAGTTTCTACAGCGTCAGGTTGATGGAACTTAAGGTCAGCTCTTGTAAGCATCACACAAATGTACTTCTACTAAAATACTCACTTTTATAGACCATGCATGAACAACAGTAAGTACTGGCATGGAATGATTATTCACCATACACCATTTTAACACTACCTCCGGGAGCGGGGGGGCAAGAACACTTTTGCCAAGACTCCAATGCAAACCCCTTACCTTTACCAAAGAAAGGCCCTTTACTAAGTATTTATATGGCTCTAATTCATAGATCACCAAGGACTTTACAAAGGCAGCTGAGAATCATTGTCCCTTTTATGCCCATAGGGAAACAGAAGTTACGTGACTTACCCAAGATCAGGTAGTGTCAGAGCTGTGCATAGAACCTCTTCCATCCAACTCCCAATCAGGAAATTCTAGCCAGCAGACTATGATACTGCCATCCTGTAACATTGATTCAGAACACAAAGTCCTCAATTTTTAAGGTCTCTGTTGAAAGACCTATATGCAATAAACTGAAGGGAAGTAGTTTTTCTTTTTTCTCTCTCTCTCTTGTCTCTTTGAATCAGCGCTTCTAAGAAATTTAGAGAGTTTACAGACTTGATACTTGATCTTCCAAGCACCCCTCAAGCTAGAAGCTGATTTGTGACCCAGGAAATCATTTATGTTGGTCATAGGTGAAAGACATTTGGTAGTGAAGGCTAAGCCACTCATCCAGCTATGCCCTTGAACTAATAATTAGCAACACTTTTCACCTGCCAAAGTCACTGGTCAATCTAAGGCAGAAATTCTTTCCTTGTTGCTATTCTCTTCAGAAGTTAAAGGGATGTGCAGCCAATCCCATGCTTACTAGGATGGAGAAAGCAAAGTGGGGAAATTGGGCAATGTCACAGGCTTGCCTCATACTTGTGTCCACACTTTCGGAAGAACCTAATGCCTGTGTTAGTTGTGCTTGGTCACCCAACTGAGAAGCTGGGGTTTTGTTTCATCTGAAGACCTGATTTTAGAGGACCAATAGCAATAGAATGAAGAAGGGAAGGTTCAGTTTAGAGCTTATCAACCTTCAGAGTGCCCTTAAGTGGACCACATCCTGCTATAAATTTTTGTACAAAACTCCTGCTGACTTAGAGGGGTTTCTCAGTGCAGAATGATGGCAGGATGTGGTCTAAGAGCTCTCTCTTATAATAGGGTTTTCCACTGAGATCAATGGACATTGGTCCTAATTTAATTGCCAAAACTTGACTCCCAGCTATGAAAAGACACATTGTTTTCCTGCAGACTGCAGTAGGAAATATGTTTTTGCCTTTGCCAGAATGAAATTTGGCAAAGGAGGACACCAAAAATGTCTGAAATTAATCAAGAGAGTATCTTCAGCTTGTATGTCTCAAAAAACCCTTCATTAATATTGATCTTTGGGGGAAAAAATGTGGAAAGCACTAATGCACCCAAATTTAATGTTTAGTAAAAAAAGGGTTTCCTCATCTGAACTCCATTATAAAGCGCTCACATTTTAGGCATGAGTGCTGAGCACCCCCTGGAGTCTCTGGGAACTGCAGGTACTCAGCACCTTTGAAAATAAAGCTACTTATTTTAGTGCTAAAGACCCAAATCCTGTTGTCCTTCCTTCTGGAGATCACTGGAGCCTAGAGGTAGTATTCAAGAGCTTCTTTGTAGGCACTGAGGGTTGAAAACGGTGCTCTTAGTGTTTTGTTCTTTATGCTGATTCAGCATTGACTGTGATTTTTAAATTTGTGATCCTGCAGTTACTTTAAAGTGCTCTACGATAACAATGACCTACCAGTGGAATCAGCATTTCAGAGGTTAAAAACAGCACTTTCTAAAGAGGAAGTAGGTTTGTTTTCTGACTTATTTTTCTGGAAAATGTTAAAACAATAAAAATAAGCGGGCGAGTGCAAGTTTGTAAAGGAGCAAATTTCCTGCCTGCAGTGACACTGATAAATTTCAATCAGAGAGACAGGGGGACCCTCTTCCTGGAAAGCCAGACAGGATAGAATTGATTTGAGACATCTTCATCACCAGAACAGCTGGTATTGGCTAATCACCAGAAAACAGAGCCATTAGCCTACAGGAAATGGAGAAAAGGGAGAAAGTCTGAATCAAACTTTCAGGCTCCACATGTGTAAAAGGAAAAAAAAGAAAACACACACACAGAGAGACACACACCCCTTCCTGCAGACAAACAAATGCCAGAGGAAGTACCAGTGCCCTGAGTAATCAAAGAGACTGAAAACACTGCAGCCTCTTGTGCCAGCAGCAGCCAGAAGCCAGCACCCATTTATCAGTGACTGACTGCCTGACACAGCCACTGCCGGATGGACTGTACAGCTCAGTATGAATCACAGGGGAAAGGATTCCTTCAGTCCCGGAGGAATTGGTACAACACCCGGGGCTGCCTACATTTTTTTTTTTTTTAAATATCCTCGACTTTTAGAAAGCAGCAATTTCCTTCCTGGTGTGTTCTGTGGGCGGGCGACAGGCAGATGACTATCCACTGATTGCATGGTGCATATGTGAGGGAGGGCACGAATACAATGTTAGTGAGAGAGGGGTCAGACTGAAAGCCCCTGAAAAGCAACTAGTGGCAGAGCAAATTTCCCCCCTGTTGCCCTGCCAATGGGACTGATTCATCACTGCCCTCCAGTGCCTTTGTGCCGGCTAGACTCATGCAAATGAGCCACGGAACAGGCTCAACTCCCCCTCGGGTATATCCCCAGGGCATGGAGGCTCTATGTCTAGGCACAGTAGCCAGCTGTGTGCCACCCCTGCAGCAAGCCCAGAGGCAGGGGCCATTGCAGGGTGGGGTGGAGTCAGAGACCAGGCATGGCCCTGGTGTTCTTACATCCCTGCAAAGCCCAATAGGGGCCACTACTTTAGGGGTGCAAGTGAGAGCAGCCCTAGTCTGTGCTTGGGCTGCACTGGCTCCACCAGTCCCTGAATGGAAAGTGGAAATCCTTGCACCACAGCCCGGGGCTGAATCTGGCCCCATGTGTTTAAATGCAGACTTACAGAGACCACCTGAATAGGGGGCAAGAGGAGGATTTAGTTTCATTCCCTATTCAGACCTTGGCCCTTCTTCAGAGAGTGACTAGTGCTCCAGACCAGCCCTTTTTAATAGGAAAGGCTCAACTGACCGCACATTACCAACCTCAGTAATTACTTTGGATTTACAGTTGGCTTACAGTTGCCCATGTAGAGCAGAACCAGCGTGGGGATGGGAGGAGACAAAATGGCCACTCACACTTGAGTTGAGCTAAAGAGTCCTGAACCTGCTCTTGTCCCCGAGAGTCTCAGCATGTCCCCTAAGATAGCACACCAGGGAAGGAACACATTTTGTGCAGTGTTTTTCACAACAGCTCTCTCCCAGACTGCTTTGGCGCGCTACAGTAGTAAAGAGAAAGAGATTAAAAGTGAAGCCAGGAGAAAATAAAGTTATAATGAGATCGGATCTGATCCAATACCATGCTATCAACAGGAGCCTTTCCATTGACTGTCTCAGTTTGGACCAGATACATATGGTACATCTACCCTGCAGCTGGAGCGCGCTCCCCAGAGTGGGGAGCCAGAAACCCACTAGCTTGAGCCAGCGCACTAAAAAGAGCTGTATAGCCAGGGGTAGCATAGGCATCAGTACAAACCTGCCCAGACCCCCAGCTACACCGCTGTCTATAGCTTGCTGGCTCAAGCAGAGCTAGTGCTAATCTGTCTACCCACGCTCCAGCCCCATCGTAGACGTACCCATCGTCCGTCAGGCAAGGCTGCTCCAAACGATAGGAGCTGCAGAAGAGAAACTTCTCACACGAAGGCTGGCAGAAGTATGTGTCAGGGTAGTAGAGATGAGGCTGGCCCTAGAGCAGCAGAAGGGACACTGTCCGTGAAGTCTGCATCAGCAAGTCCCTGGAGTGTTTTAAAAACAGGAATCATAGAAACGTAGGGCTGGAAGGAACCTTGAGCTGTCACCTGTTCCAGCCCCATGCTCTGAGGCAGGACCACATATACCTAGACTATCCCTGACAGACATTTGTCTAACCCAGGGGGCTGGAACAATTTGTATAGTGGGGGTGCTGAGAGCCACTGAACCAAACTGTAAACCCTGGATACGATGGAAACCACTTCAAGCCGGGGGAGCGACAGCACCCCCCGCACCACTAGTTCCAGCACCTATGGTCTAACCTCTTCGTTAAAGCCTCTAATGAGGATTCCACATCTTCCCTGCAAAGCCTAGTCCAGAGCAAAACTATCCTTAGCGTTAGAAAGCCTTTCCTAATATCTGGCCAAAATCTCCACTGCTGCAGATTAAACTGACCACTTCTTCTCCTACCTTCAGTGGACATGGAGAACAATTGATCACTGTTTATAATAGCCCTTAACATAAAAGAGACTGTTACCAGGTTCCCTCTCACTCTTCTTCAAGATTAAACATGGCAAAAAAATTTAACCTTTCCTCCCAGGTCAGGTTTTCTAAACCTTTTATCAGTTTTGTAATGCTCCCTTGGACTCTCTTTGATTTGTCCACCTCTTTTCAAAGGACACTGTTGAAGCCTCACCAGTGCCAAGCAGAGCAGGACAATTACCTCCCATGTCTTACATATGACATATCTGTTAATAACCCCCAGAATGATATTAGCCTTTTTTGCAACTGCATCACATTGTTGGCTCATATTCAGTTTGTGATCCACTATAGAATCATAGGTTTCAGAGTAACAGCCATGTTAGTCTGCATTCGCAAAAAGAAAAGGAGGACTTGTTGCACCTTAGAGACTAACCAATTTATTTGAGCATGAGAATCATAGACTTTGAGGTCAGAAGGGACCATTATGATCATCTATTCTGATCTCCTGCACAACGCAGGCCACGGAATCTCACCCACCAACTCCTGTAACAAACCCCTAACTTATGTCTGAGCTACTGAAGTCCTCAAATCGTGGTTTAAAGACTCCAAGGTGCAGAGAATCCTCCAGCAAGTGACCCGTGCCCCATGCTGCAGAGGAAGGCGAACCCTCCCCCACCCCCACCCGGGCCTCCGCCAATCTTTCCTGGAGGAAAATTCCTTCCCGACCCCAAATATAACCCCCTGATCCTTTTCAGCAGTGCTACTGCCCAGCCAGCTATTCCCCATTTTGTAGTTGTCCATTCGATATTTTTTTCCCATGCAAAGTGTAAATACTATGCACTTGTCTCTACTGAATTTCATCTTGTTGGTTTCAGACCAATTCTCTAATTTGTCAAAGTTGTTTTGAATTCTAATCCTGTCCTTCAAAGGATCGCTACCTTGGTGTCATCCTTTATAAGCATACCCTCCACTCCATTATAACATTTGTGGATGACACCGAGCTGGGAGGGGTTGCAAGCACTTTGAAGGACAGGATTAGAATTCAGAATGACCTTGACAAAGGAAAATCAGTTTTTGAATCAGACCCTGGGGTTGATGATCATGTTGATGCAGGCCCGCATCTCTGAATGGCTAGAATGAAGGCAGTGCTGTTTGGAAATTGGTACGCGTCGCTAGGAGGCTATGGAGAAGGGAATCACAATAACGAACATGAGAGGAGATGAAGGTAAGGGTGGCAGGTTTAGTAGAGGCAATGCTGAAGCAGTGACTCGCAAGCGGTGTTGGCTCCCTTGAAATCAATGGCATTCACCCAGGCAGTGTTGTTGGGAATGCAACAGGCAGATTTGCAGATGTGGGAGGGTGAAGAAGGAATTCAGGGTTAAAGGTGGTACTAACTTTAAAAGCAGTGGAGACAAACCAGAAAGCTGAGTTGGTAAGTGCAGGGTGAGAAAACTGGGTTGGGCTTGAAGATGTTCCATTTGCCCAAGAGAAGAATGGTTAGGGGTTATTGATTGCACTATATGTCCACAGGTGAATTACTGTTTTGTGGGGCACTGGGCCAGACCAAGTGGGGGCCCCTCCCCACCCATTCTGCCTCCAGACCCACCCTGCCATCCACCTCCCTCCCCTCCCTAGTCCTGCCAGGGAAATGGGGTCGCAGCGCGGGGGCTTACTCCACTCCGCCCACCTGCTGCTCCTGCTGGGGAGTGGGGTCAGGGCATGGGGTCTTCCCCTGTTCCCCGGCAGGAGCGCCAGGCAGGCAGGCAGAGTGGGTCGGGGCACAGGACGCCCATTTTTCCGGGGCCCCCCAATTGGCCATGGCCCCTGGGCACGGCCCTGTTGGCCCAGTGAGTAATCCACCACTGTATATCGCACCCAGCCAGTGTTTAAAGGCAGTGCACAACATAAACCCCACATACAATATCTAATTAGAAACAATTAGAAAAAGAAATAATTTCATTCTCTCTTTAAAAATACCAAAGGGCAAATTCTGCTCTCAAATACATGCAAGCAGCGCCAAGGGGGCAAAATTTGGCCCCGGAGGAGTGAGGAGTACAAAGTTCAAAGAAGAGGGCATTTCACCAGCTTGGCTGCAGCTGTGAAAAGGCCTTATGTAGGGAAACTGTACAGTGCGCACTCTGGGCCAGATCCTCACCTGCTATAATTTACACTCACTGAGGTTCTGGCCCTGTGCATTTACAGTAGAAATACTGACACACTCTAATGATAGTGGTGAAATTAGGAAAAACTTTAGGAAAAACTCTATTAGGAAAAACTTTTTCACTAAGAGGGTGGTGAAACACTGGAATGCGTTACCTAGGGAGGTGGTAGAATCTCCTTCCTTAGAGGTTTTTAAGGTCAGGCTTGACAAAGCCCTGGCTGGGATGATTTAACTGGGAATTGGTCCTGCTTTGAGCAGGGGGTTGGACTAGATGACCTTCTGGGGTCCCTTCCAACCCTTATATTCTATGATTCTATGATTCTATGGTGCACCTGGGCACTGCAGAAATCATACATTCGGCGAGAATGCTCTCGTCCTACAGTGTTGCTGGCATTGCTCAGCCTTTGGTAACATCACCTAATATTCTAAGACTGCCAGGAGAGGAAGTCAGTTTGTTTTTCTCACCGCTCACCCAATGACACTGTTTCCAACTCAGTCTGCTGTTTGTACTTGCCTTTATCACATAAAACAAGCCCAGCCACAGCAGTGGGTTAATATACTCTGTTTGGGATGTCTGAAACAACAAGCGCTAGTTATGAAGTCCCACATTTGGTCATGATCTTCCCCTGGTGTTTGCCTATTGAGTTGTGAATACTGATAAACTTCCTGGTCTGGCCCATTCATCCCTGATAAACTATGGCTCCTGCTTCAAGTGACTGTGTGTCAGTTGTGGGCAAGGGAGAGTACTTGGGGAATTGCTCATTGCTAACAGAAAGATAGTTTGCAAATGACTGGTACGTTCCCAGAGAAATGTGTCTCCAGTGGCTACAAGGTTTGCATTGCTTCATTGTACTGTTACAACAGGTGTTTCATTTCCACTGGCTGGTTTTGATTTTGGTGGCATGAGATTGTACCACATCCTTTTGGGGAGGTTACATTTCATTCTTCCTGCCCAGATTCTCTTACAATATTGGTTGATCAGGTATCCATCAGTCACTCATCAATAAGAAGAAACTGAAAGGGACAATTCAAATTTAAAGAACTAAATAAATCAAAGTAAAACATTTCCTTTGCCTTTATATTTCTGCTGCCTCTGAAAAATCATGACTGAGACCTATCTCAATAGATATGTAACTGTACAATAATATTGTGTCAACAATTCTTATCCTGTGTCTGTGGTTTGCATAGTATAATACTCATATCCTCAAAAGTATCATTTAACTTTAGCTCCACATCCTAAAATGATTCAGCCTTTGAAAAGAAGAAGTTTTGGTCCAAGTTCATCAGACGTTTCAAAACTTCACACAAGAGTCCTGGCAACTACAACAAAACCACAGCATAGTCGCTTTACGTGCTACTTCTCAGGCTTGTAAGACCCAGCGCTTTCAATGGACCACCACTTCAAACCTTGACATTGCTGACTGGCTTAATTTGTCTCCCTTATCACATGGCAAGTTCTGAAGCTTCAGCTGTGTAGTGGCATTTGCTCCTGGTAGGGTAAAGAAAAAAAGAAAGAAAAAAAAAACCAAAACAGAGCAAGAAAGCAGAAAGGAGCATGAGGTTCTAATTGTCTGAAAACCAGAAACATCTGTTGGAGTCATGAACAGTTGATTAGTGGAGTTCATTTCTAGGGTACAGCTTTCAGTGGATCAGCTCTTCTATCGGAGCACTTCACTCGTCTTGGCAGTTACTGGGGATATTAAAACGGGTTAAACTGACCAGGCAGGAGAAGCATGCCACTCCTCTTTTTCCTATGAATTTGCTAGCTAGATAATTTGTAGTTGATAGTTAATATAAAAATTAAAAATAGGTTTTGTAGGGATTTTTGTGTTTAGGCAGGTAGTTTAGTCCACCCTATTGTGCAATTCTAACCTGATTTTATCATGGCAGATCTGGTTTAAATATATAGGGATTAAAGGTGTGTGTGCCTTATGGCAATTAGATGTTCATGAAGGACAAACATGCAAGATGTCCTAGATCCCTAAGAGAATGGCACCTCCTGAGGGGTTCTCATTATGCCCTGGCTTTATCCCTTTGATTCACCTTGAGCAGAAGCCTCAGCTTCCTCTCCTTTATATAAGGACAGGCTTACCAGCCCAGGCAAGTGATACTAGATCAATCTCATCTGCTCTGAAGGAACCAGTTCCACCTTGGCCCAGGACCTGGAAGCTCCATCAGCCCCTAGCATTCCCTCCCACCCTCCCCAATGCCATGTGTGACTCCCTTCTTAAAGTACCCCTGCCCCTTACCTATCTTTTACAAGTTGGAGTGGACAGGTGAGGGAATCATCAGAAGCAACATTGACCTCCTGTTGTTCCATGGAGATGGAGAAAGCTGTGAGCTCTGTCTCTCGGCTCTTGCCATCTGGAAGAAGAGGGGTAATGACAAATACTTAGATTGTACTGCCAATCTCCTAATCCATGACCAAGGGGCTGGGTTACTAGCTGGGGAATAGGGTCTTACAAGAAATATATTCTTGGTGAGCCACAATGACATCAGAAATCTTGGGGATTCGGACACCAGGATTCCCCTTGTCATGGTTTAGCCAGGAGACCTCAAAATAATCTAAACACCTGCCAGCGAGCCATAGTAGAGATCTCTGTCTCCCCTTGACCAGAATATGGAGAAAGACACCACTGCACAGTGGGGAAGAAATGTTGAAGTGGGGACAAGTCTCCATCATTCACCCCAACTCCAGCTGCACCCATGTCCCTTAGCCTCCCCTCAAGTGGTGTTTACAATGATTAAGATACTAGTGTAGATGGGACAAAGCCATTTCTAATGTTGTTACAAGAAGCACTGTAGAGGCCTGGCTGAATTGCATTTTTTATATCACATGATGTGTGTTGAGGGGAAACCAGTGGTGACAACTGTGGTCAGCAACAGATCATTTGCCTAGTGTAGATGGGGCATTAGAAAAAAACAGGTAGACTGTCAATGTAACCAGCATGTTCGTATGAGCAAGCAGTGCCTTTTTGGCCAACTCCATAATCTCTTCCTGGTTTCTGCCTAAGGGGTACATCAGCCATTGGGGGTACAAGAAACAGGATTATTCTCAACAGTGTAACCACTGAATCCCCTTATTGTGATGCACAAACGCTTTGTGAGTAAATTCTACAAGTATCTCCCACCTACAGCATACAATCTTGCTCTTTAAAAGAGAGCCCTTGCCTCGTGTAGCATGTTGTGTCAGGATTGGGGTTTCTGACACTTTAATAAAAGAATCTCCGAACTGCTTTACCACTTTGTTTTTCTTCTTACTATTACAGGGTCAGATTATGGCCCAACTCATGTGGTAGCACAAGGAAGTACGGGTGGCTCTTTCTCCCTTGCTCCAGCTACCCAGATCACAGATGGGGGAAAGAGTGGCATTTGTGCGGCTGCTAAACTCCTATCCCCAGGCAAGTGGGCAGGACAAGAAGTCAACACAGCCCCTCCCCGCAATCTGCTGGTTAGCAAAATTACACTAGCAAGCCACAGGAATTATACTGCACCCTGTATAGGCCTGCCAAGCAGAGGGAAACGAGGAGGCAGATCTCTCAGAGTCACCATCTCCCATTAGGTGTGCTCCAAAAGCAACTCAACAGTGTGCTGCCCCTTGCTCAGCGCAAAGCCAGGACACAGCCCGCTTTTCATTATGGTAACTACAAGGGACAGTGAGTCTTGCTGGGAACATTTTGTAGGGTGCTCCAGGCTCTGATTCTTGTAGGAAGCTGACCATGTTTATAAAATATTTTTTCCTCTCATGAAATATACCATTGCCCTGAAGCCTAGTCACGTTGTTTTAGTACTTGACCATACTTCCTAACTTTTTACAGCACAAACATGGAACCAAATATGGGAAAACACAAGAAAATAGGCAACGGGTCTTGTACTCATGAGCTGACATGTGGAAATGAAGGCTTTTCACTGTAAGTAAACTTCTAGGCCAAGACTTTCAAAAGTAATTGGTGATTTTAGTTCCTCAGTTTTTGGGTGCTCAACCTGAAGAGCCTCAGTTTGGCATGGTCTTTTAAAAAGTGGGCATTCAGCACTTGGCTGCAGGGTTCTGCATGCTGCATCCCTGATCTAGTAAAACACATGCACTTAACATTTGAGTTCAGTGGAACTGCTCATGGGATTAAAGTTAAGCACGTGTTTAAGTGCTTTGCTAGATCAGGGGCAGAGGCCCAGATCCTCAGAGGTATTTAGGCTCCTAACTTCCATAGATCTGGGCCAGAGTGTTCAGCATCTTGCTGGATCAAGCGCTTACTAACAGGGGTCAGCACCACTGTGTTGCGCGATGGACACTTGACAACATTACCGGACTTAGTGACGGACATTGGTGGGGGGCTGAGACAGGGAGTGGGGGTGTGTGTATGGGGGTATGCGCTCCAGGCTGGAAAAGGGGGTGGGGAGGTGAGGGCTCCAGCTGGGGGTGCAAGCTCTGGGGTGGGGCTGGAGATGAGGGGTTTGGGGTGCAGGAGGGAGCTCCAGGCTGGGACTGAGGGGTTTGGAGGGCAGGAGGGGGGATCAGGGCTGGGGCAGGGAAGCAGGGGGGGCGGCTCAGGGGTGCAGGCTCTGGGCAGCGCTTACCTCAAGCAGCTCCCAGAAGCAGCGGCATGTCCCTCCTCCAGTGCCTACGCGGAAGCATGGCCAGGTGGTTCTGTGTGCTGCCTTGTCTACAAGCACTGACCCCACAGCTCCCATTGGCTGCAATTCCTGGCCAATGGGCTGGGAGCTGCGGAGTCAGCCCTTGGGGAGGGGGGGGACGGAGGCAGCGTGCCTGCAGAGCCGCCTGGCCGCACTTCTGCCAGCAACAGCAGGGACAGGGAGACGCTTGCAGGGAGCCACCCAAGGTGACCATAAGCGCTCCTCACGGTCCTCAAAATTTTTACCATGGACACTTGTGCCCATGTACAGACACGTTGCTGACCCCTGCTTACTAAAGATCAGACCTTTTTAAGGTGACTAAATTTGGACACCCAAAAATTGAGGCACTAATAATCACTAGTCGCTTAAGTAAATCTTAGCCTTAATGTTTATTATCCATTTCTGCTAATATTCCTTATAGGATGGCTCTCTTCAGGGCTAGATGGGATGTTTTATGTATTCAAAAGGAGGGACTTTCACCTAATGAAACAACTCCTGTGGAAATATCAGTGAATATTCTCTATAGGTTACCAGAACTCAACCAATAATAAATGTTTTCCCATTATTAATTCTATCAGTTCCAATTCCCCACCTCCCATGTAAAAAACTCTTCAAAACAAAAATACCACTGTGACTGTTTGTTGATCTCAGGTTCTAGAAATACAAATTTTGTAATAGTTTTGCATTGTATCATTTAATTAATGGCCTGGGCACCTGGAGCCCAGGATAAGTGCTCTTTTATGTTACTTATTTACATCCATATAAATAAACTATTTTTTTCACTTTCAAAAAATGTAGTTTTATATAACTCAAGACCAGATATGCACCAGAGCCAGCCCCAAGAGGCAGGCAAGCAATTCGGTAAAAGCTTTCTAGCCTTTTATAGTAACACTTTCCATAAAAGTCCCATTTACAAATAAATACTTCAAAGACTATGTGCATGTGCATTGTTTTCACAATACTTGCCTGTTAAACTGATCTGTTGTTGAGCCTGCCTTATCATGTGTTATCACAAAAAAGGTAGTTGAATCTGTTTGCCCCTTAAACAGTAAGGGCCAGATTTCAATACCTTTATTTACGTTATTCCACAACCGATTCCACTGAAATCAAATGGAAGTGATAGGAAAACACAGAGAATTAATATGCGGGAGGGGAGCTAGCAAGGATTTGTGTTAGGTGGTAGAATTTTCAAAAGCTCCTAAGTGACTTAAGGACTACAACTTCTCCTGTGGGACTTGTGCTCCTAAATCATATTAGCCTTGTTTACATGCAAAAGTTGTATTGCTTTAACTATACTGGCATTAAAGCAGTAAAATCCCTTAGTGTGGATGCAGTTATACCAGTAAAAATATGATTATACCAGTAGAGCTTATTCTGGTAAGGGAAGGGGAATAAGCTATACCAGTATAAACAATTTTATACTGATATAACTGTCTACACTAGGGGTTGTACCACACCCCTAACCGACACAGTTACACTGATATAAAAGCTGTGTGTAGGCTAAACCAGTTGTGCTTTTGAAAATCCCTCCCAGAATTGTCAAGTTTAGGCTTAGGGAAACCAGTGGAAAGATACTGCTGATCTTGAGTAAGGGTGTCAGAATCTGGCCCTAAAAAAGAATTTGGGTGGGTGGGAAAGAGGCAAGTCAATATTCAGAAACGGGGATTTCTTCAAAAATGTTGAAAAACCATTAATATCTAAAATATTCCTTACATTTATATGAGATCCTTTGAGCTGGGAAGCACCAAGGTGCTTTTCAAATTAAGGCCTCTGTGTCTGGCAGCTGCTCCACCTGGGTGCACCTCTGTGGCTGTTCAGGGTCCTATGGGGATCTGTGCTGGTGGAGGAAATAGCAGCATGAAACAGCTTGCAGGATCGGCCCACACCTTCACTTTATTCACTGATTGTCTAATCACTTACAGTAGAGGATCGCCAAAACTCTACGTGTAAACTGACTGGCTTCCTTGGAAAGTGACAAGTAAGATCCTGAATTATTGCTTTCCTTGTAAGTAAATGACTGACCTTAGAGGGTTGTATGCTCTGTGGAATTCTGCTCCTGGAGATTAGGGATCTCAGGAACTGCCTTTTTAGGCAGGAGGCTAAACAGAGCTGTGTAACTGCTACCAGCAATAAAACTGACAGTGAGCCTGGGAAGTGGCTCCCTACCCTTATAAGGAGAAAGACAGGTATTTCCTCATGACCATATTTGGTACTGCAGGAAAACATACTATCAAGGTAAAGGAACACCTCCAGAAACAAGGTCAGGATCACACGCATTCCACAGTTTCAAAAGGGAGGCTGTTGCATAATACCAATGCTAATGCACTTTGCATCTCTCTGACACCTTCCATCTGAGAATCTCAAAGCACTTTACAATCTTATTGAATTAGGCCCTCACCACCTTTAGGAAGCAGGGAAGTTTAATTAATTAAACGATCATTTTCAAATCTGGAAAAGCAGATGGCTGGTGGGAGAACAGTATGTCATTTTAATGCTACATTTTAAGGCAGTCAAGCCACAATTTTCAAGAGTGGGTGCTGAATGTCAGGCATCTTAATCTATATTTAGCCCAGATTTCCAGAGGCACTGAGCAACTGTAGTTTCCATTGATTTTAACAGGAGCTGCAAGATCCTCATCCAATCAGAAACGCAGGCCATTTATTTCAGCATCTAGCTTTAGCACATATGAAAATCTTGTCCTAACTGCTGTAAAATTAGAGCTGGTTAAGAATAATTATAGTTTGTGGGGGGGAAGTGTTTCCCCTTTGTTCACATTTTTCATGAAATTGTTGATGAAATATTTCAAAATTAAATATTTTCACACATTTTCAAAACACTTCAGCTCCGATCCACCAAGGTACCTAGGTATCTAAACCCTAGACTCAGGCAACCTAATCTTGGCTTTAGGCCCCTAGAGTCCCAGTTTTCAGCTCCACAGTGAGTCATAAGACTTCTGTTGAGGCCTGTAGATTTCTGCCTCTGGAAGTTTCTCCCTGTAAGTTTCTGCCTCTGGGCAGAGGCACTGCTGCCTTCCTCTAGGCATCCAGATGTCCAACTCCTGCCCAAGTCCCACAGCAAGTCACAGACAGAGAAGACAGGCATTTGGCTGTCTAAGTAGGGCCCAATCTGACAGGCGTGCTCAGAGACCACCTACCAGATCGGGTGCTGTTCAAAATCGGGGGGGAGGGGGCGGAAAAGGGGGGCACTGCTGACCTTATAGCTTTCATCCCAGTGGTTAGAGCACTTGCCTGAGATGTGGCAAACCCTAGTTCAATTCCCTTCTCTCTGCTAGAAGGGGAGAAAAGATTTGAACACAGGGTCTCCCACCCATCAGGAGGATGCTCTCACTGCTGAGTTATGGGATATGCTGAAGTGGGGCAGTCTCTCCTGATGACGCTGTTCCACTGTGAATAAATAACAAAAGAGTGACTGGAAGAGGGGAACTGGACCGTGGATGTCCCCTGTGGATGCCCTAAGCACCAGGCTTCAGAGGGATTCTCTTTTTTTCCCTTCTGTCTCTCTCTCTCTCTGGCCCAATGACTATTTCTCTCCAAGTATTTCTCCATAGTGGAGCAGTCTTTGGGCCAGAGACAGACAGCATGTAAATAACTCTGGTCGTTAGGGCACCCCTATAGGAGACCCATGTTCCAGTCCCCCTCCTCTGTACAGTGCGCAAAGTAGCATAGCTGGGGCTGGTGGCGAGCTGCAAAGTAAAAGCCATGCTGTCTTCATGCTGTTTTTCTTTCATTTTCAATCAGATCCATTAGCTGCGAGGTGTGTGTTTCATTTTTGTTGTTGTGTACACAAGTGCTATCAGAACTTGGAAAAGAAAAGAAAGAAGGAACCCAATGGAGCAGTGTAAAGGTTTTTTAGCTTGCATTTTCTTAGGATGAGTGCATTACTCATAAGGGTCAAAGCCACAAGAGAGTTATGTAGCGCACACCAAACAAGTGTCTAGAACATCCTTATACTACACCATGATGGAGTCACCACCGTGTAAGAAATCTTTTTACAGGAAAACAATTTTAGATACAATGGGCCAGATCCTCAAAGGTATTTAGGCTCTTCACTTCCACTGAAATCACTAGAAGTTAGGTGGAGACTAAATACCTTTGAGGATCTGTCCCCATCTGCTACCAAAACTCTAAAAATCTACTGGTAGTATACCTTGTATCCCTCCACCACCACGGTACTATTCCCTTACTCATACTTCTTTAAAATCTTGAGATCAGCTGTGCAGGCCTTCCAGAGAGGAAAGTACTGTAGCTGCTAAACTAAGATCATATCTGAAAAAGTAAAAGGCCTCTTGCAAGAGCAAGATTCCTAGCTAATGCTCCATGGCACTGCACATGCCTAGTAGAGTTCAGGGATGGGTTCCACTTCCTTGAAACTCTCTACAGTATCAGGAAAATGTATTATATTAGCAAACATATTGTTTAAAACATTAGTTAACCTGTTAAACATGATTTAGCAGCTTGTGTAGATGCAAATCAGTGATGTTAAACAATGATTTAGCTGGTGGTGGCAAAGGTGGATTAGCCATAATTGGCTAACACATTTTTAAATAATCAAGTTTAACATCCTTTTATAACATACTGCATTTTCCCAATATAGCCAAGGCCTAAAACACAGTAAAAGCTTTTAAAAATGACCTAGAATTACTCTTATCTAAAACAATATTACAAATTAAAGGACCAATGAATTGTGAGCTATCAGAATTCTAAATACATGTGTCCTCTCATTGGAAAGGAAAGGGATTCTCAGATTCCCAGTGGGATAAATCCCCCATACTTAGCCCTGAAGGGTCACAAGATATTGGGCCTCAAACTTGTCACTAATTCAGGAATGAAAGTTACCCATCTTGTGCCTCAGACCAGAATGATTTGGGGGGGGAGAATTCCACGTTTGGAGAAAGAAAAACATTTTTGTGATTGTTTTTTTAAAGCTTCTCAAGGGTTTGGAATGCTAGGAGTAGTCTTGGTGGAAATAGATTAGCAGACAGAGTGTAGGCAAGGTGGTCAAAGGTGCATGGTTAGTGCAATTTATCAGATGGATAGCACCGCCATGTATGTGGTACAATTATGTGTCTTATCTTCACGGCCCTACAACCAAAATAAACCACAGGGAAATCTTGGAGTCTGTGATTGTGTTGTCTTAAGTGCACACCCCTTGAGGTGGTGACCTAGAACACCCCCCCCCACACACACACACACACATCTTTAACTTTATGTAAGACAACATCAAAACAAATGTAAGCTGTATTTTTCCTCTTGGGACTCACACTGAGACCCTTTGATGTCTTGTTCCTAATTGTTTCTTATTATTGTACTCTGGGTTTTCCCTGAGATGGTATGAGTGTCTAAGTTGTCTACAATCTCTTCCATCCAGATGATTCCCAAGGTCTTTAACACAGTGATTGTTTTAATAGAACACAGCAACACTACACCAAAGGATACCTGATACAAACTAAACCAAAAGCGGAATTTAGATGATACATTCTTTCTAGGTTGGAATTTTGGCCAGGATTCAAGAGTTAATACCCTGAGTCTTGTGAAAAGAAATTCTAATGCAGATATTGAAAATGAAAGGGTTTCTTGTAGCTGAGCTCTTTTGAAAATCTGACCACTTATTTAAGTATCTTGGATGCTTTTGAAAATTTGATTGTATCTATATGCTTTCAATTGGATGAAATCCTGGACCCATTGAAGTGAATAGCAGTTTTGCCCTTGACTTCAATGGAGCCAATATTTCACCACTAGTAGGTAGGCACCATATATATAGGTTCTGTATATAATTAATTAAAACCTTCTGTCTGGCTAATTTATTCCCAATTTTTCATTTTAACATTTTAGGAACAATTATTCCATCTTTACATTTCAAAGGTATATATATCCATTCTCTAGGTGTCCCTGTTACTCAAATACTTGTTTACACAGGGGCAGGTTACTTTTTGTAAATGTGTGTTTTTTGTAAATGTTATATAATAACTTAATTAGTAGGCTAGAGTTCAGGTCTTTTTCAGGTCAATAAAGGCCCAGATCCACAAAAGTATTTAGGCTCCAGACTTCCACTGAGTGCACTGAAAGTTGGAGCTTAAGTACTATGGTGGATCTGGGCCAAAATGCCTAAATTTTAAGTACACACTATATCTAAACCTGTGTAACTGGAACACCAAGAAAACAAACCGCTGTCCTATATTTGGGCAGCTATTGGTGTCATGCAGTTCTAGACTTAATGTACATCTATCAATTAAGCTTTACCAAGGCTGTTGATGTTCCTTTCTATTGTTCTCAGCAGTGCACTGCCCAGCTGCTGTGCATGGAGGAAAGGGGAACTCCCATAAGAATTGGAAACACCCTCATTTGGCTTGGAAGACACCCGCCTAAGAAAGTGCTCAATGTGTATAAAAACAACACGAGAGGAAGAGCAAATCTATACACCCAATAAGAGGGAGGGCACAGCAGAGAAAATAAAAAATCTTACAAAACAAACAAGTTAAATACATTGTTTTTCATCTGAATGCTAAAATAAGTCTGAGAACAGCTCAGCCTGAGGGAAAAAAGTTAAACTTTGACGATAACTTTTCTGCTGTCTTTATACCACCTGTTGCGGGGACAACACTCAACAGAAAGCCACAGGGGATTTTGGTACTCACCGAAATACACTTTACTTTCACTTGCATCATAAAGACTTTTAAAGGTGTCTTGCCCCTGGCTAGATCCCCCACCTAACGCTACAAAAAACCCTATGCACAGGTCACCAAAAGGCTCCTTTTCTGATGGGACACTGTTCACTTCAAAG